TGGCATAGAATTTACGAAAAGCAAGTGTTTAGGGTTTAGGGTGAAGGGATTAAATTCTGGGGGCTGGGGTTTACCCTGGCATAGAGGGATGTAGAGTTACATAAGGCTTAGGGGTTTGAGGAGCTGAGGGCTTGTCAAATGAGTCAAGAACGAAGGATGTAACCGTAAAACCCAAACGCGACATAGCTCAGCGAAAAGACTCCCTCCGAATTGTCTCGACATTTGATGCCTAGGAATAGGGTTTAGAGTTTGAGAATCATTTCTTACGGGTTATGTTTGTTGAGCAGTCAGGGCTGAGAGAGCTAAAATGCCTCGCGTAGGCGCTTGTAGATAGATAGATATGTACCTCTGCCCACAAGGACATACATAAATACATACATTAGCTACCTACATACATACAGACATACACATTTATATCTACGAGCGCACGCATATAAATGTCTGCATGTATCTCCAAGCCTTTTCTACATGACTTCTCAAAAAGGACTTTTTGCGTCTATACCTACATACACATACGTATATATCTCTCTCCCTCCCTAGGCCCTAAACCCTTATCCAATTCTCTCTCCCCTCCTTCCTGGAATGCTCGAAACTCTATATCCCTAAATCCTCAACCCAAAAGCCTAAACCCTTTAGGCCCTACATCCCAAAACCGTTACAGTTCACCCTCGCAGCCTCCGGCCAAGCACAGGGCCATTCTGCAATACGGGCACCAGGCCGCGAAGTGGCATTCGCGTAATCAGCCGGGGGCTCGGGGGTTAGGGGTTTTAGGGGTTTAGGGGTTTAGGGGTTTAGGGGTTTAGGGGTTTAGGGGTTTAGGGGTTTAGGGCCTCAGGGTTTAGGGTGTAGAGTTCAAGGCTTAGGGCTTAGGATGCAAGAGTGCTAGCAACAATGATAGCACTACATCTTCAGGAAGAAACATGACCCTGGATTTCCACGCGCTAACCGTGACCTATCCATGCATCCAGCACGTGGTTCTGGGCCATCCCTTCCCAACCCCTCTGTTGCACATTGCCGGCGCGGCCAAGCATCATGGTCTATTTGCCAGTTCTATATAGGGGTAATATTGGGATAATGGAAAGTAAAATGGAAAGTACTATAATGGGGTTTATATAGGGGTAATATTTCGATACTGGAAAATAGAATGGAAACTACTATAATGGGGTTCCCTAAACCCTAAGTTACCCTAAACCCTAATGGGGAATAATGATTCCATAGTGCAACTGCCTGGAACTAGGAATGACTACCGCACGATGAAGGCGTAAGGGCTTAGGGTTTCGGGCCACCAGGACCCTCCGCGGTTTAGGGTTTAGGGCTTAGGGTTTGGGGTTTAGGGTTTAGGGTTTAGGCTCTTTAAACCCAACGGAATAAGGTATCTGAGGTGGTTCAAGATTTTCTCCATCCGCCGTAGCCTTATCATATGGTCCTCGTCTACTAAGAGCATTACATTTTGGCAGCATGAGCAGGTCCACCTTTCAAATCTAAACCCCATGTAGAGTTTAGGGTTTCGGGCTGAGGGCTCAGTGTTTGGGACTTGGGGTTTGGTGTGTACCTGGACAGCCAGTAGCCCATAGTTTTGGGTAGCTAGCCTCCTGGTATGAAATTTCGTGCAACCAAACAACCCGGGACAGCTGTCTGTCATTGTGGAAGTCATGTAAGCTTGAGGAATGTAATCCTTAGTGTGTGCGTGTGTATGTATAGAGCCCTACACCCGAAACCCAAGACAAGTATATGCACTTACAGCCCGATGA